TACTGAAGTTCACTAATATTTATCTGTGAACCTGATGCTATTATTTAAAATAATTTTAAACAATCAATTTAAATTTATAGGTTTTTAAATTTAAAAATAAATAAACTTCAAATTGTAATAAATATATAGTATATAAATTTTATCATGCCCTTATGCTATAAAGAAATACCCCCTATAGCACCCTTAAGGGGGCAACTGCTATCGATGATAGCAGGACGCTTTCTTTAATAGGACCCACCAAAACAAGTTTTGGTTCTCCCATATAAGAAAGCTATCCTCTTATCCTTTGGCCATGATAAATGTAGTATACAATAGCAATATTTGCTATGATATGCCCTGACACCTCAATGGTATGAATTTCATTGCTTTTAGCAACAAAATTAATACTTATCTTATTTCATAGCATATCTTACAAAGTTGTTTTGTTACTAGTTTTATTTTAAAATTTGTAGCAAATATATATATATATAAATTATTTTATTTAAGTTGTCTTTTATAATAAAAATAAATATTCAAAAATTAACAAAATATTTATAATATCGATTATTGACTAGCCGACCGCTGAGGAAAAATATTATACACTCACTCCTAACAATCACCAACTTCAAAACTATTTGCATGCAATAATTTTATAATGAAACAAACACCTATTGTGTTGAAAATGTGTGATTCTACAAATTACCCATTTTAAACACTAATAGTTTTCATTTTATCTCAAAAATATTTACTAAAATATAAATTTTAAATCATGCATTTATTGTTCTTATATTATGTATTTGCAATTATTAATTGTTTTAGCAATATGTATTTTTAATTTTTAATATTATTTTATTTTACTTTATTTTAAATATTTTATAAAATAAATATATATTTTTTAAAAAATTAATTTTTAAAAAATTTATAGCTATTTTCAAAATAGTTGAGAGTACAAAAAAAAAATTTTTTTTGCAAATACTTGAATACTCGAATATTTGATTAGTTTAAACTAATTAAACATTCAAGTATTCGAGTATTTGCAAAAAAAAAAATTTTTGTACTCTTAACTATTTTGAAAACAGCTATAAAGCATTATTTAAATTAACAAGCAAGTATATAAAATAGTACAACTAAACTAAATTCCAATAAACTGATTATTTTTTAATTAAAAATTAACTTTTGACTTTAAAATTTTTAAATACAAAAATATTATTTTTGATTTGTTAATCTTTCAAATCATTTATTTAACTTTAGATATAAAAATTATTTATTAGTCATATTAGCAAACTAGTTTATAAATCAAGAATATAAATATATATTTACTATTCCATAATACTCTTTAGATTATTTCATTTGCTTTAATTATTTCATTCAATTCTAATCAGTTTATAAATCAAAAATATAGATATTTATTTGCTATTTTATAGTATCTTTTAATTAATATAAAAATCTTCATTTTAGAATTAATGTTTTGAAGCATCTTTAATCTTGATAATTACTTATTAATAGAAATTTCAAGACAACAGAGATAAATTTTTTAGAGATTTAGTTTTATTTTAAAATCTGGTTTTTTTTTACAAATGCGTTTAGAAGTGAACTAGAAAATGGTTACACCTCATATAATAATTATTTTGTTTATTTTAAATATAAAAATATTTATTAGCTATTAGAATTAGAATCAGAAAACTAGTTTACAAATCAAGACAAATTATATTTAAAATTACATAAATATTTACTCTTAAATACTTTACAAATTTTTTTTAACTTTAATATACCTTTTACTATCAATTCTGGTTTCACACTATTCTAAATAGTATAAATACTGTAAATATATAATTTCTTCATCTTTAACTCATACTATTACATGTTATATTATTTTTGCTAAAAAAATAATCATATAACAATAAACAAAACTTTAACCATTCTGGTCTATAAAAATTATAATTTATTAACATTATAAAATTAAAGAATACAAGCATTTTTTTGAATTTAAACCAATAATATTAGAAACTAAAGGTTATAAAAAGATAAAGCAAAATATATTTTTTTAAAAAGAACATAGTTCAAGTAAAAATAATATTAGAAAATAGTGTTTTTATTCTATTAAAACTTATGATTTTATTATAATTTTTTAATTAGTTCAAACTGCTTGATGTGGGTTGGCAATAACAACATAGCTATATGATAATATATATTATATACAAACAATTTATCAAAAGTTCTAGAAGCCCTAATTTCTCTCCTAATTGTAATTAAATATATGAAATCTTATCTTAATTTAGTAACTAGATGCCATTACAAAATCAAAATAAAATTATTGATTAATAGATTCTAATTGGCTATTATCTAGATATCCAAATAGCCTTTTTAAGCACAAATATTTAGATAGATACAGATGCCCTATCTGGATAGCTATTTTTAAGCACAAATAACTATTCAGATTGATATTCAGATCCCAATACTAGAAAACAATATTTGTAATCTTCAATAGAAAGTGGAAAAGAAATTAATAAACCTACCTCTACAGTATATAGTCACCTTTTATATTTTATAATATAATTGTAACTATATAAAGATTATCTCTATATTAGTCGCACCTCTTTATAATCACAGTTTTCTGTATCCCGAAGGTGTGACTATAGAGGAGAAAGACTGTATTTATAACACTGCGTATAATATTCTATTATTTAGATTATGTTGTTGCAACTAAAGTTTAGGATTAGAGTTAGGTTAGAGTTAGTCTAGTATAAAATTGCGAGAGAAGCATTTTTTCTTAGTTACATAACAGGGTTACTCTAGTAAAATTTTGAAATATTTAAGGTTTTTGAAAATTCTATATAAGGTGTTATATAAATATAATTTCCAAAAAAATAGGTTGTAAATTTTAATAATAAAAATACCCAGTGTCATTGGGTACTATTGAAAACTAATAATATTCTCAAAAAAAATTTTTTTTTTTTTTACGAATACCCGATTAACTTAAAGATTCGATTTCCAGCTATATATATCTTTATTTAATGATAATTAGGTGGTATAATTCGTAGTTAGAAATCGATCTTCGATCAATACTGCAATCAATGTTCTAAACTAATCGAGTATTCGCAAAAAAAATTATTATTTTTTTTTTTTGAGAATATTATTATTCTCAACCATTTCGAAAACAGCGATAATTTTAATTTTAATTTTTTTTTTAGTTAAAACAGCAATATTTAACACTTAGGGAACACACCCTTTTTGATATTTTCGCACCCACATAAATCACCCCTGCACTTATTTTAAAAGGTACTGTATCTCGACAATCACCCAATGGCTTTTTCTTATTTGAATTCAAAGAATTCATAGCGATAGAATTTAAAAAATTCATCGGATTTCATCAGGTGGTTGTCGATATCAAAATGTAAGCTGCAGCAAATCTTCTTATGACTTCGATCAAAGGTATCGTGACAACCTGATGAAGTTCAACGTATAAAAAAAAATGCTATACCTTTTTTAAAAAAATAAAAATAATTAAATAATTCGCAATATTTGTTTTTGTCTTAAAATAACGTGGTTAAAAAAAGTAATTATAAAAAAGTTAAACATATTCCTTTTTTGACCAGTCATTTTTAAATCATGATATTTTGGGTTAAATGATAATCTATTTTTGATTTATTCCGATGTTATACAATTGAAAAAAAGTATAAAAAAGTAAACAAAAAAATCACGTAATTAGGAATTTGGCCGAAACTTCAAATAAATTGTCGAGGCATTTTGATAAATTGTAGAAAAATGGAAACAGGGACAAAATTTTTTATGATTTTGAAGGTATCTCAACAACCACCTGATGAAATCCGATGAATTATTTTTTATTTGAATTCTATGAATCCATAGAATTCAAATAATAATAATGAAAGTTTCGGAAATATTTCAATATGTGAGCCGCGATAAATTTTTTGACATTTTTTGATCAAAGATATCTCGACAACCATCCGATGAAATTCGATGAACTTTTTTTTTATTTGAATTCATGGATTCTTAGAATTAAAATAAAAAAAAAATTTCATCGAATTTCATTAAAAAAAATATTAAAAATATTAAGGATTTTTCATGATAATGTTGCATAAGGTGTTACGTATGAAAATGTGGCATGGCATTATGGCAATTACTATTATGGCATTACAGCATTCAAGATTTAATGTGAATTGATTATAACATATGCCCAGTAGTACTGTAATGATGTAATGCCGTAATTCTGTAATTATAACGACGGATATAACTTTGATGACTATAGCCGAAACCTTTTTGACCCAAGAAAATCTTAGTTGAATGAATAAAACTACGCTTATGTTTAGCCAATTAGCAGTAAGAATTTTACAAACCCAATCAGAACTGTGATCCGTTAATTGATATTAACAGTTAACAATATTAACAATTATAACGATAACGATAATAGTTAAAACCAAATCTAATGTTTCTCAATCGAATAAATCTATTGTGCATACATATTACACATATTACTTGTTATATAATTTTCCTCTCCGTAAAGCCACAATCCGGTCAAGAATTTTACAAATGGCTGTGAATAAATGGCAATTTTTAGTATATACGTAAAATCATTTTAATAATAACATGCATATCTCGTTATTATTCTTGATTCAATGATCGAATTAGTTTGACCCGCAGATGCTGAATCAAACTCCGAAGATCGCTTATTTGGCTTGGCAACATAACTGTTTACGTTACATTCGAATCTATTTTCAAAATTTGACAGAAACACAAAAGTCTTTTCTTAGTGGCAGTGTTACTAAATTCGGTGGCTTTGGCGTCACTACCGGAACTCTAAAAAAAGCATGGAAAATTCCCTTGATTTTTCTTAGGGTCTCTTCTCCCTGAATTGATGAGAACTTTACTATTTTGTCAACAGATCTTTTTTCATAAGTTGACAAATTTAAATTTAAATTTGTTTTTTTTTAAAAAAAAAAAAGTTTAAGAAACAAACTTAACCCTCATATAACGCGTTATTTTTTTAAAAAAAAAAAAAAACCATGGGTGAAGCAGAAACATTGGAACTTCCCATTACAAAGGTACAATGGGGTTTACGAGGGTCTCAAATTTTTTTTGCTTTTCTTTCAATGTGTTGCATAGCTGCCGAAATCGCTTGGGATAATAAGGTTTTGACTAATATGGGTAGTTCAATTCTTTCAAATATCCACTTATTTATCATTGTCTTGTCGATGTTTGCAGCGGCCATTTGTGTTGGTATTCCTTATGCTTATCTAAATTATGGCAAATTTCAATCTGCATATAGAGCATTAAGATTACCCAGGATAGAATTTGTCCATACTGCAATATGGTCTATTCTTATACTTATAGTGTCAATAGCATTGAGCGTGGAATTAGGTTTTAGGGTTTGTGATCCCGCTTCACCACACTGGTATAGCGATAAGTTAAATGCTACTGCATTTAGAAACGAGACTACTTTTGTCAATGGTTTAGCAAGCAATTGCAGAACAGCGCGTGCTGGTCTTGCATTCGGTTGGTTTGCACTTGGTGCTTGGTTAGCTTCTCTTGCTGTAGTAGGAAAGGAATGGTATGATGGTAGACGTCAACCTTTACCCAAACACGATCAACATCGGGACGAAGTTACTATTAACACTAATTCTTCACGTTCGTCATTTGAACCGGCTGGAACTCAACCACAATATCAAGAACAACTTCAAATGCAGAATATAACTAGTCAACCTTATTCTCAACCTTATTCTCAACCTTATCCTCATCAAGTGTCTTATAGCACACCTCAAACGATTCATACACCGATGTCAGGAGTACTATCTCAACATGCCTCACCTATCTTGACTCCACAAGGAATGCCTATTCCTGAACCTCAACCAATTCCTACAGGTCCTACAGGCCCTACAGGTCCTACAGGTCCTGGTGTTGGATTTCCTCAACCTCAGCACTATCCTCCATCACAAGGTTAATTTGTGATTGTTTATTAATACAGTAATATTTTTTTATTGCATCTTTTTTTGTCTTTATAATCACTTATGATTAGAAATAGCATTCTTAATCTAAAGATAACGATAATTTGGACATTATATCATTTTACAGATGTTATTTTAGTGAAAAATATTTGTCATCCTGTATTTGATATGATATATAAGAATATGTCTCTTGTATTATATTAGTTTAATATATATATATATGTATTTCGATATAAACGTTAAAATTGATCGTATAAACGAACAAAAATCACATGATACCATGATGCTTTATCGTTACCTGATTGTCATTTCCTAAACGATAACTGATAACGATTCAAATCCTGGCTAATTACCGCCAATAACCGCCAATTACCTTTTTTTTTTTTTTTTTATAATTTAAAAACCATGTCTTATTTACCACGTCGACCTCTTAACAGACCACCCGCCTACTATATAATCAAACGACATCCTTTTGCCCTTTTCGGATTGCCACTTGTTATTTCAATTGTGGCTGGTTCATTTGCTCTTAGTCATTTGACACAAACTAGATATGATGTTCATTCGAATAAAACTCGCAAGGTTTTCTTCATACTTTTTTGTTTGAAATTTTTTTTGGTTTCAAAAAAGAATTCAATCAATCCAATCAATCACTTAAATTAAATTGAAAAAAAAAAATCAGGTTGAAAAAGAAGAATTACTTCAAATGAATAAAGATAGACAAGTACCCAATCTTCAAGAAGAATATTGGGTGTGTATCGATTACATATATTTACTGAACTTTTATGTTAGAACAAAATTTTTGCTTAATCTTTGATATTTTTTGATGATAAAAAATTTATTATTTTTTTTTTATTCGTCCGGAATATTATTAGAAGTTACAATTAGATAAAGAACAACTTGATGATTGGGAAATTAAACGTGTTGAAAGATCCAAAGACCAATTTGACGGTGTTTTATAAAACTTATCGTTATTATATTACTGTAAAATTTTAACAGGTTTATAATAAAACTTAATAAATTACTTGTTAAACAGAGAGAGTACTCTTTTTCGCTTTATTTCATTATATTATATAAATATAATAAATGAAGAACCTTGTTAATACATAATTACAATAAAGAATAAAGACTTTGTACCTTGATTAATTTGTACAGATTAATAAAAGTCTGTATTCCCATTCCTTTCGTAATTCCACCCAAACGGGTTTAACTTCTGGCTTAAGATAATGTAGGTTAAGATTGACGCTATTTATTTTTACTAAAATACTGTGCAGATAAGAGAAAGTTATTTTTTCGATGTATATGCAAATCATACACCCCACACCGTATGCACCGTATGCGGATGAACTTTATTCTAATTATCTACTAGAAACTGTGACTACAAATTTTTCACCACGTAGAAACAATGAAAGCCCATTACCATATTACTGAAAATATTGTAACATTTAGCCCGCTGATTACCAAATTACTTTGACGTCTTGTAGAGAAGAAGGTGTAGTTTCTAAATTTTTATACCACAACCTTGTCGAATTCGTATTCGTGGCTGCGAATCCATTCTTGTGATTCTCGTGATGGACAATCGTTACTTTAATAATACTTTAGTATAACGAGATGATCTACAAAAATCAGCCAAACACAATAGAAGTTCGCCATGCTCTTTTATACAATTTTCTAAATACAAAACGGTTGATGTTGATATAAAAGGAAATTTATTTTAAGTGCTGTCAAAATTAATGTTCGTTTCTATTCCAATTGAAGATTTTAATACTAACACAAAATATCATCACAGTAAATTGAAAAGCACAATAATGATTCGACGTCCGATTTCAGATAAAATACGTGATGAATTTATTTCAAAAAAAGCAATGTACATATTCTACATAATCTTACCGGAGAATGTTAATTCTGAAACCCCCTATTGGAACAATAATTTTAATTACAGTCATATTTATTTAGGTTCTCTAGGTTCACGATCCACGCATTAAATGTATCCTTAATTTTAATATTTTCATCCGAAAGATATTCACAAAGGATCTATAACTCCAATTTTTATAGTTGTATTCATCAAAGTAATCGTTTCCCTAAAAGAATATTATATATTTTAGAAATTGATAATGACTTTTTTAATCAAACAGTAATGCTGTGGTTATAAAACTCAGATTAACAACTGATATGAACACAATAATAGATTGTACAAACTATGTCCAACAGTTGGATTAGTGAATTGAGATACAATAATCATGACGACTATGTTAATAGGCTTAACAGTGCTCGACAAAGTTAGCACTTCCAACATCATGAACTGAATTAATGGGCCCACAGCCATGATTAATGGATTGTCTCATAACTCATCGAGTGTGTCAGAACCTAAAGAGCTTCCAATGTGCAAGGTTAATAGATTAAATTCCCAATGCACAAAGTTAACAGAATGTAAAATATAAACAGCCCCTAAATTTGTGAACATGGTTAATGGATTGTAAAATCCAACAAGCACCCGTATATTCCATCAATACGAGTTTAAATAAATTGTAAAAAAATTCAAAGCTTCCAACACAACATACTATAGTTAATGGACTTCACGTAATAGCAACTAGTATAACAGAATATTACATCTGTTACGTAAGAATCCAAAGAGCCTTTAATGCACAAGGTTAATAAATCTCAATGTGCAAAATTCATATATTCTACAAACTATACCCCAATATCATGATTTGTTTAGGGAACCCAACTCCTAACCGTTAACATATTGGACAATAGTCATCATATCATTTGCCATTTTTCATCATAGATTATTAGTCTAATTTCTTGTAAAAATATTTTACCTTTGGTTTTCCCATATTGTAATGTCTCGGATTTCGGATTGTTTATTGGTAAACAATATCTGATATATGTAGATCATAGGTCGACTTTTATCTGATTGGCTGATGTAAAGCAAATTCTAGCTCTAAATGAACGTAGATATTCACTGTTAAAATTAATTCAAAATAATCTACCTCTCCAAGAACCTCACTTAGGAGCGAATATTTTTACTATATACAGTTAATACTAGTTATTAACTATATGTAAGTTTTAAATGCCAGAAATAGTCAATAAAAAAGATCGAGACAGCTTTAAACTTAGAACTTTGTACGTATACTATTTAATGTGATATATATTATATATATACAGTATATATATATATATATATATATATATATACTGTGTATTACTTTGTGTAACGAAATTAAATGTCATAGACAATTTGACCAATTTGATCAGATTTAACCAACCTTGGTTAATACGGTGATACATGCGCATAGTGATTGGCTTGGATGTCAAAGGGGGCATTATTTTAAAATTAGTTGACAGTGATATCAACGAAACTAATGAATGAACAATATACAAAGAAATTCACTTTATGACTTACGTCGCTGCTAACAATAAATCAGGCAATAATAGGCAATAATATAATATGTATTGGAATCAAGATCCTAAAAAAAATCAATAATCATTTTGACTGTAATTGATGTGATAAAAATTAATTTTGATCAAGCTTAGCAAAAATTCTTGAAGCCTTATTTATAAAACCATTAACGTTAAAAATTATTTAAATATAAATGTATGTTACATAATTTTACATATTTTTTTTTAAACCATAAAATTTTTTAATTCAACATAGTGATAGAGGAAAATTCAGTAAATTGCAGTAATTCTGCACTGCATTATAAAACTTGGTGTCACCTGAATTGACCAATAAAGTCTAATAATCCCTTTTTTTTTTGATCACGAGAATTTTTCAATTTTTTTAAATAATGTCTATAAATTTCGTTCGTTGTTTAATGGCAGAACCTTCTGCTCCACCGATATCGCAAGTTTCAGTGATGAATGTCGATCAACTAAATGCGCAACAATTACCAAGGCAGCCTCAGCCGCCATATTATCCTGCACAATCACAATTACCCGTTCCACCAACAATGGCGGAAGTTCAACCTCCGCCTCCAGGATTGCCTCCACGTCCTGTAGATTTTAGTACCCAACAAAGTTACGATCTGGCCCCTCCTCCACCGTTTCGTGCTGCTATTCCTACCTCACTACCACAACTACCACAGATACCACAACCACCACAGCCACCACAACCAATTGGATCCATAAAGGAAGGATCTACTCCTACCAAAACCGATATTACAACTCCACCGCCAATCTCTTCCCAAGTTCCCATACCAAAAAAGCCTCCACAAATGAAAAAATCTACTCAACCTCTTCATTTACTTCTTCTAGAATGTTGTAAAGAGGTAAGAAAAAAAAATTTAGTATTTTAGCACACTAAAATAAATAAATGCACAAATATGTTAAAAGGGAATCTTAAAAAAAACTTTCGTTGTTGATCGGCTGTTTAGTATATCACTGGAAATCTGACGACAAAGTCTGAAGAAGATATTAAAGAGTTATTAAACGATCGAAAGAAATTACATGCTGATTTACAGCTCTATTGCACCGATGTTATTCTAACATCTGCAAGAGATCGAATTTTGAACGAATTAGATGAAGTAAGATCTGTAACCATAAAACTATGTTTATCATCTAATTATTATTTTATTTTTTTTCTGAAGCACTCGTAATTTAATTCAGAGAGGGAAAGAAGCTTT